AAGACATCATGAGGTGACAAGAACAAGCTCGACAAGAGGCGTTCCAACGGGCACTCATGAACATGGAGTCGTCTTTCCAACAGCAGGCAGCTTTGGTCCAGCGTGTATACGCGATACGACTCGAGGCGGAGCGGGAACGCATGGAGAATGAGGCCCGTCAAGAGGTGCTCAACTCGGGTCTCGTGGAGGACACTGTCCGGGGTCGAACGACGGACCTCGACGGTCAACTGGCTGTGACACGCGTGGCTCACAAGGAATTGGAGGCCCTCGTGCTAGAACGGTCGGGCATGGAAAAACTACGGGTAGAAAGGGCGGATCTGCTGGATCAAACTAAAGCGTTGGGCGATGAGATTAGTCGCATCCGGAGCTCCGAGGAAGTGGCGGTGTCGGCTGCTCTGAGCCGTATGGAGCGCCAGCGTCAACTGGATGCGGCGATGGTGTCTGCGTTGCGAGCCGAACTTGGGTTGAGTCGTGCCCGTGCGGAAGACGACAAAGCCCTCGAGCAGTCCCGATACGACAGCGAGTTGGTTCAGACTCGAGCCGCATTTGAGGCCGAGAAGCGAGAAATGCTGCTCGAGTCGGAAAGGAACGATGATAAATGGCGAACGGAATTCGTGCGTTTCAAGAACGAAGTCCTTGATGCGTCGCTGGCGATACGAGAGCAGGCTCGTTTGGATGGTGATGAGCTGAGGGCCAGCCTGGCACAGAAAGACAGGACCATCACTCTACTCGAAAGGGCCGACGCCGAGAAACAAACGGCGGCTCTTGAGGTCTGCCCCAGATGCGAGGAATTGAAGCCAGAAGTGTTAAAGCTTACATACAACGCGAGTCGTCTCCCAGATCGAAGAAGAACGACGTCTGAATGCCGTTGTCGACGCGCGCGACCTTCAGATCCGGATTTTGGAAGGTGAGGCCCATGAAAGTAACGTCAACTTGAACATGTTGACGGACATGAACGGCGAGTTGCAGTCAGACCTTCTGTCTCGGGGGGAACTGCGGTCGGAACGAAACGTTCTCGAAGGGACGGCCGCCGAGCTCGTCAGTGCTCAGGTCGCGTTAGCTCAAGAACGGGTTCGGCTCGACGAGGCCAAACGGAGTTTTGCAGCCAAGGTGGCCGACGAGCGTGCCCTGTTTGACGAGGAGCGCCGATCGTAGTTGACTCAGTTGTCAAACGACCGTTCACAAGCGGCGGATTTGGAGCGTCGTGGGATGAACATCGCGATGCAGGCGGAACGATCGCGACTTCTGTCAGAACGGCTGGAACTGCTTCGCGTGCCGCCAGCAACCCCGAACCAACCCAACGTCGTCTCTGCCGTGGGGTATGATACGGCGCATCCCGTTCAACAACCTGACTACTTGCATGACTCGACGGTACAAGTACGGCGAGCCCCGTCTGGTGGTTCTTCGGTTTCTTCTACGGTCATGGGCTCTGACTTCACGATCGACCGGACTCCGGTCCTTGGTATGCACCCCTCGAAAGGTTCAGTGACTGACAAATTGGATGCCATCTTTGACACCTTGAAG